ACACACACACACACACACACACACACACACACACACACACATATATATAATATAATATATATATATAATATATATATATAATATATATATATATATATATATATATTTGGTATAGTTGCGTCCCTGATACTTTGTATATCCCACACTCACTGGTTATTTCTATCATTACTCATGGTAATCACACAGGGGTGGCTCTGACCGAGCACAACCTGAGTCAAACCCTGCGCAAGGTGGAGCACGAGCTGAACAAGTACGAGAACATCCTGGTTGAGGAAGCCAACGCCAGCAAGGAAAGTGCCGGCCCAGGCCTAGATAGCGAGTACCCGTACACTCAACTACATACACAGCCACCCACCCGCCCACAGGGCAACACAGACCTACACACACTGACTGCGGGTAAGACACAGGCGAGCCGTGTGCACGCACGTGGCATGCACACGCTGTCGGGCGAGATGAAGGGCGCGAGTGCCGGAGTGCACAAGACCACTGCGATGGAGGCGGTGGGTGGCATGAGCAAGCCCGAGCAGTCGTCGTATGCGGGTATGTGTATGTGAGATGGGCGGGCGTGTGTAATGATGGTGTGTTTGTGTATGTGAGATGGGCGGGCATATGTAATGTTGGTGTGTTTGTGTATGTGGGATGGAGGGGCATGTGTAATGATGGTGTGCTTGTGTATGTGAGATGGATGGGCATGTGTACTGATGTGTGTTTGTGTATGTGTATTGGATTGGCATGTGTAATTGTGATTGCGGAATACGTTACTGCGTGCTGGCAGGACATGTGTGTGTGTGATGGATGAGAGTCAGTATGTATCATAGTTGGGGCGTATGCGTATGTGTATGTATGGTAATGCGGCAAGTGTATGTGTGATATGTGTATGCATAAGTATGTGTAGTTGTGTGTGTTAGTGGTAGTGTGGGTGGATTACTTTAAAAGAGATCTAATCTCTATCTATCACCTCGTAAATATAGATGGATTACTTCAAATGAGATCTACTCTCTATCTATCACCTCTCCTATATATAAATGGATTACTTTATAAGATACCTACTCTCTATCTTTCACCTCATATATATAAGTGTATTACTTCTTAACATATCTACTCTATATCTATCACCTCTCATATATATAAGTGGATTACTTTATGAGAGATCTACTCTCTATCACCTCTC